ACTGTGTTTAAAATACTCAGAGAAAGTTCGTGTAACTACATTTCTAGACAACATTGGCGAAGTTTGCCCGTCCGCATATAAAACCTTTTTATATTAATACTCAGCGAGCCACGCTTCATCTGTAATCGGTTCGTCGCTGTACTTTAAATCGTTCATGTCGCGATATGCTTCAGGATGCTTCGAAGTGCTCTTCGATAAAGTGGTCATTTTGCGCATTGATTGGTTTCAGATTCAACTTCATAATTACTCAGAAATGCAACAAGAGTCACTACATTCACTTTTGCAATCAGACATGTCTTTTTTCAAGAAAAATCGTTTTAAAAATCGTTCTCAAAATTACGAAGAACTTTCAGAACATTACTCGTGACTATTAATTCCAAATTGTACTCAACGTCGAGCGAATTCCTATACTAATTGCCATATATCATTAATTGGTTTGAATTTTATTTAAGCTAAAAACTGCGCCGAAGTACTTCAAAATGGTTATAAGCAAAGTGGAGAGTACGATGTGTATCCCGACGATGGCGGGGGTTTCAAGGTACCGAAAGTAAATCGATGATCTGTTAAATCATGAAAAACAGGCCCCAAGTAATTTTTGATTATTATGCTTGCCTTGCTTTCACAAAAACTTTGAGCTAAGACACCGGCTTTTCCCAGGTTTACTGTGACCAGCAGACTGCAGGGGGAGGATGGACAGTCTTCCAGAGAAGAAAAGATGGTTCGGTGGACTTTTACCGAGGATGGGTCGACTATAAGAATGGTTTTGGAGATCTTAATGGCGAGTTCTGGCTTGGCCTCGATAAGATCCACCGACTGACCCAAGCAAAACGAAACCGTCTTCGTGTTGAGGTTGGAGATGTGCAAGGAAATAGCGCGTATGCCGAGTACGATTTATTTGATGTGACCAGTGAACGAAGCAATTACAMGTTAAGTCTTGGAACTTACTCAGGTAAATCAAATGTGGCGGACACGAACTCCTTTATGCCAGATACAAATTTGAACGGCTTGATTTCATAYGGCGGACACAATTCAACCATCTAAGAATCCCATGATATATAAGAGAATATCATCCACAAATTAATATTTTCAAAAGCTAATAAGAGTTAAATGATAGTTTTAAATGTGATTACAAATAAAACAAACAAGCAAAAAAAAGAGAAAGAAGAAAACAGAAAGAAAAGAAAAGGAAAGGAAAAAAAAAAGAAAGCAAAGGAAATGAAAACAAGACTTGAGAAAAGAATAGTGGATCGCCGCAAGGTGTTTGAAAAAAAAAATCCGCAGCATATTTGCGCCCCAATGATCAGTAAATGTCATATAAAATATCAACGACAACATTAAAAATACTAATAATAAAAACACAACAACGCAATATTGGTACGAAGCTGTGTTTCCTGCATTTCAGGTACTGCAGGTGATTCCCTGTCCTACCATCGTAATATGGCCTTCAGTACCAAAGATCGTGACAATGAGAAGAGGGGTGGTAACTGTGCAGTGAGACATAGTGGTGCCTGGTGGTATAACGGCTGCCATCATTCCAACCTTAATGGTCAGTACAMGTACARCGGTACCATTTCAAACAGTGGCGTGACCTGGTTGTACTGGAAAAACAGCCATTATTCCCTTGCAAGAGCTGAAATGAAGATGAGACCGCAAAAGAAATGAGCCAATGACGTAATCATGTATGGTAACAACCGCAAAGGACATAAATATAGATAGGTAAAATAGCATCAGTTCAATTTATTGACCGTAAGAATAAGCTTTAGACAATTAAAAACGATTGCATTCAGCCTGGATGTTACTGGACTCTTCGTTT